CCCTCTGGCCCGTGGAGCCCTCGGGCTGGGGGGGGGCGAGTGCAGCCCCCCGTGCAGGAGCTTCTGCGTGCTGGGTGGGAGAGGGGCATGGAGAGGAAGCAAGACCTGAACTTGTCCCGGAGGGTCCAGATGGGCATCAGCAGAGCCGAAGGGGGCTGCTCTCGACCCTGAGACCCCGGGTAGGTAGGATTGGCCCCCGGGAGCGGAGAAGGGGCTGAGACCCAGGGCGGCGGGGAGTTATTGCACAGCAGAGCCATTTCGACACCATGGTTGGGTGGGAGAGGGGCATGGAGAGGAAGCAAGACCTGAACTTGTCCCGGAGGGTCCAGATGGGCATCAGCAGAGCCGAAGGGGGCTGCTCTCGACCCTGAGACCCCGGGTAGGTAGGATTGGCCCCCGGGAGCGGAGAAGGGGCTGAGACCCAGGGCGGCGGGGAGTTATTGCACAGCAGAGCCATTTCGACACCATGGTGTCACGTCCGTGACAGAGCAGAGCCATAACCCAGGGAAGACCTGCACAGGCTGTGAGGGGAGAGCCCGCGCCGCTGGCACAGCCCTTCTGGGACAGGGGTGCCCCAGCAGCCTCGGTGACGCAGCAGGCAGGAGGAAAGGGCCTGGGAGGTCGCTTTCCGTGGTGTGCTTCAATTAGTCATTAACCTTGTATTTAGAGAGACTTTAGGGGGGACTTGGAGAGGAATCTCCTGTTATCTCTGAGCATTTAATCACTCCTTGGTCCCCAAATGGGTGGGCCAATGTTGCAAATCCTGGTGGGTTAAGTGTGATCCTACCCTCCTGAGGGGACGGGAACACTTGTCTATGCCCGCCAGGTCCCCTCGCCCCTCTTCCCGGGGCCTTAGCCTCCTGGCCCCGAAGCGCTCCCAGGGAGGGGGATGCCACCCCGCACCCCAGCGCTGCACGGGGAAGGACCGTGGCCTCGGGGAAGCTGCGGGGGCAGCGCCTGAATCGCTTTTCATAGTGATTTCCACCCTTGCCGGGTGCTAAACGGCTTTCTGCTCCGGGAAAACCTAACTCCAGCTGCTGCTGGGGTGCGACTGGCTCTCTGCTCTGGAGCCACAGGCTTGGTTGTCTGTCCAGTGAGCCGTCAGCAGCGTTTCACTCGGAAAGTTTTGGCTAGTCTTTTCTCTTGGTTGGGGCCTGGGGGAGGTGAGACCCCCCTGTGCTCAGCCCCAGCCCTGAATGTCTGGTGGGGACCTCTCATTGCACCCAGCTCCTGGCGTGTGCCCGTCCCCGCGGTGTCTGGGCTGCAGGGCACCATCCCACCTGCACCAAGCACAGCATTGTTCCGCCACCTCGATTTCTCCCCGGGGGAAGCAGAAACCCCCCTGTGAGCTGCTGGGACCCCCACGGCCGACTCCCCCGCCATGCCCCAGCCCTCCCCAGGAGCATTTCAGCAGCCGCCCCCTGGGACTTGTCCTCCTGCAGCCCCCGGCTCGTCCCGCCGCTGTGGAGGGGAGAAGATGGAGGGGACTTACCGTTGCCCATAGCCAGCACCTGCATGTTCTCAAACTCCAGAGTGGTATACGCCGGGTCTAGCGCTGCGCTATAATCTGCCATCTCCATGTCTATTAGGGCTTTGGAAAGGCGCATTATCATCAGCAAACACGGGCCAGATTGTACCGATTCCCTTGTCCGAGGCTATTGGCCCTTCTGCCTCCCTCTGCCTTCGCTGCGTCCCCTATCTGTTGTCTTTTATTTCAAATATTTCTCTGAAAGGATTTGCTGAGCCTCAAGGCCTATACTCCCCAGAGGGGTGGAGGCAGGAGGCAGGGGGTTAATCTTTAATCATCTCACCCACTGCCGAATGCTGCTAAGCTGTTTTTTTTTGGTGGAGCAGCAGTGATTCTTGTTGACTGTTTATTATTGAATCTCGAGGTGCTTTGCCGATCCCGGCTCCCGGGCGCAGGCAGGACCGCAGGAGCAGGCGCTTGCTGCCCAGGGAACACCCTTCCCGAGCTATTGACCTTGGTGCCGAGCTGCCGGCGTTGGTCTTAATTGTACCTGGGGTGGAAAACTTGGAAAAAACCCTGCCAGGAGAACAAGGTTGCTCTTCACTTCAGTCATTGCCTTCCCCTCTCCACAGTTGGTTGCCTTCTCCCCCCGATTTCCCCTTCTCTCGCTCCCTCCATCCCTCCCACACCTTTTCTTTTTCTCCCTCCCTGTCAGAGAAGGTCAGCGCCTGCCTGGCAATTTACATGTTGCTATGCAAAGTAACGATGTACGACTCCTTTTACTTCCCTATAAACCGAGTTTTACAGGGGCTGGATGCCCTATAAACAGATCCCACTCTGCGGCTGTGCCCAAATGGTAAGCAGGGCCGGGGGGTGGCACGGGCATCCTGGGCATCGCCAGGGCTGCTCCTGCCCCCCCGCCAGAGCCACCCTGTGCCAGACACCCCCCAGCCTCGGGTTTTGATTGACATACCTTAAAATTTTCATTAGGCATTTTACAACGCAGCAGAGCTTTACTCTGCGGTGGCATCTTTCCTTCTGCACATGCAGCCGCCGCCAGCTCTCCGCCGCCAGCACCGGTGGTGGTGCTGCCGCCTCGCCCAGACCTGGGGTCTGACCTGCTGGTACTGGGCAGGGGGGACCGGAGCGAGTGGCAGAGCTGCCTGTGCTCTCCTGCTTGCTAACCTGGGTGCTCTCCTCCCCAGCTGACCCTGGGCACATCACTCCTCCGCTTTAGACAGGACCGAGACTTTTCAGTGTAATTGCAAGATCAACGAGCGGGAATTTAATCGATTGCTGAATGGCATCGGCTGGATGGTGCAGGAGAACCAGCAATTAATGGTTTGGTATCAGCTCGCTCTGCGTTGAAAAATTCCCCCTGATTTTGCAACCAGCAGTGTGCGACTGAGTCCACACGCTGCTGATTTGGGCTCCCAACTGGCTTGTATTTGTGCTTCCCGGGCACCCCAATGCAGCCCCGGCCCCGCTGGCGCCCCGAGCTGCCCTGGCCACAGTGGCATTGCTGTCACAACGTGACACCGAGGTCTCTGGCTCCACAACAGCACATGCCTTTGGGCAGTGATGCTAGCAACAATTTGCTATTCACATTTTAGGAGCACAAGGGATTGCTCCAGCAGCCCTTGCCTCCCGAAACTGTGACCTACTTAGCACTTCCAAACAGCTCTTCTACCCTAAGGCTGCAGGTCTGCAGGAGTGAAGCTGAGCACAGGGGAGAGACTCTGCTTTCCCACTTGGGACTCATGATAAACAATCCTTTGCTGCAGGGAAAACAGTCATCCGGTCCGTGCTCCCAAGAGAGAGGCCAGAGCTCTCCGCACTCACGTGCCAGTGGCTCTTCCCTTCAGCAGGAGAAGTCCTGAGCCAAAAATTGTTTTTATGATGTGCACACTGGGATGGGGATGCTAAGGTAGAGCATAGCCCCCTCTGTGGCCTCGTCCCAGGGACCTCCGTCCCAATCCTGGCCGGGCCACGGTGATCCCTTTGATTAGATAAATGCTACAGACACTAGGTCAAATATGTGCAGGATTTGCCACAGCGTCTAGTAAAATATCGTAAAAGCATGGCCCGTTTTGCTCTGCTCAGCAAAACAAACCTTTTGCTTTAATAGCCTGCTGAGCAAGGAAGGCTGCAAAGGCCGTTTGCTCCCCGGGCAGGAAGGATTAAAAGGGCCAAGAATAGAAATCGGAGAGGCAGCGTGTGCGGGAGAGCGGCCGATAAGGAGCGGGGAAGTTTGGAGAGCATTAGGTGGCTCACGAGGCCGGGACTGTCAATGGGACGTGGTGTTTTCCACCCCGGGGTCGTGTTGACTGTCGTTTTCTCACTACCGGTGTCCTCCGTCGGTCGCCGATGCCCCCTCCCAAATCCCTTGTCTCAGCGTGGAGGTCGAGGACCAGACCAGCCAAGGACACTGCGCGATTCCTTTGCCCCGGAGATGGGCTCGTGATGGAAACGCATCAGCTGCTCCCCGGGCACGGTCCGCTGCGGGAGATGATGTCTCCCCGGGGATGTTCTGCTTGGGGAGTCCTTGTCTCCCCCTGACATCCCTGTGTGGTGGGTTTGGGACAGCTTCCCAATGTAGTCATGGCTTGTACTAGCCAACAGGACCCGGCGGCCCTGCACCTGTTTTAAGTTGGGGATGTTCAAGTCAGCAGCTGGTTGTGGGGCTGATTCAAACACTTCTGTCCTACAGAAGATGTTTTGTCATTTTTATTCCAGAGAGAGACAACTTGTAGCTGGCAAACCCCCGCTGGTAGGTGAAGGCTGTTCCCAGACCAGGTACTCAGGGGAAGTTCAGCTTTCAGGCCCCCTCCTCTCTCCTCCTGTCCCCATTTTCTGTGCCCTCCACCCACCGTTTCCTGCGCCAGGAGGTGACTGCAAAGGAGACCATGACAGCTCCGGGGCATGACGTGTTCTGCGCCAAGTGATTATTTAATTTTTATCTGTTGAGCAGTAAATCCTTTCCCGCACTGGCACATCATGACACTAATTCTGCCTTATCTATATATCCCTGACTGGCAAATTCATCCAAAGCAAATGGGGATTCCCTGGAAATAAGATCTATGCTCCTCAGTAAATAAGAGTCAGGAATAGAGTATTTAACAGATCATTTATGGTAAGGATGCCATCAGCTACCATGTTTGCTAGCTCTTCACCTCAAGTGGGTGAGCAGGCTCCTCTCACGGGGCTCCTCCTGCCCTTCTTGAACAGGGTGTTGTAGGATCAAAGGATAATTGAGGTTGGAAGGGACCTCGGGGTCTCTACTCCAACCTCCTGCCGGAAGCAGGGCCAGCTGTGAGAGCAGCATGGGTTGCTTGGGGCTTTATCCAGTTGGGTCTTGAACACCTCCAAGGATGGAGACCACACAACCTCTCTAGGCAACTGATGTTTGGCTGTTCTTATGGTGAGTAAGTTTCTCCTCAGATGCTGTCTGAACCTCTCTCCAATTTTTATGCCCGTTGATCTCTTCCCACCATGCACCCTGTGAGGAGCCTGGCCCCGTCTTCTCGATGCCCCTGTGTGGGCTATGCTCCTGCGGTTCCTGCTGACCCATTTCTCCAGCCTGCCGCGGGACGGCAGCCCTGCTCTCCAGTTTATCGACTGGACCCCCAGTCTGGGGTCTCCTGCGGGCTTTCTGAGCCAGGAGCCTGGAGCCCTCCCGCCCTTTGCTTTTCTCTCTCACAGCTCTGCACTCTCAAGAAATCCCTGGCAGAAACGCCAGCGCCCAGAGCCAGCAGGACCAACCTCATCTTACATCAGTGATGCCACCGCTGCCCCTTGCAGCCCCGACTCCAGATCGCTCCTCCCATGGCACTCACAGCTCCAAGGCCACTGTGGGGCTGGAGTGGCTTTTCCTTGGCATGCAAGTGAAGCAGAGATGGGCTTCAGGTCTGAAACCTCTCCAGAGCAGGAAGGCCCCGAACAAGGTCGGGGCCCTGCTCAGCCCACCACTGTTTCGCCGAGCGATCTGTTGGGGAAGCACGAAGCCGAGTTACAAGACAAAGAACAAAAGTCCCAGGGGAACGTTGCCAGTGTAGTCATCTCCACACATGCAAAGGTCCCTTCTGCTTTTTTTTTTTCCCCTTTGAAATTTCAAATTCCAGTTTGTGGACAAAGTCCTGCCTATCTGAGAATATAGATCTCCGACCACTGACCAAACTCCACTCCAAGCAGTCCCGAGGGCTGCTCTTCCCCTTGCCCACGGATGCCTCCGCTCAGTCCCCGGATCTGCCAGGATCGCGCCGAAACTTTTGCACCGGAGCAGAGCACTCGTACGTGCACAAAGCGGATTTTGCACGTTTCAACCTTAACATCAGCAGCTCCCTTTCTCCACGTGGAACGGGAAGGACCATTGGGAATAACCAGGTAGGAGCCTTATCACCTGCAATTCATTTGGGCAGCCATTGCAGATAGAAAATGAGAAGGAGAAACAAGGGCTTCCATTGTGCTTATATCAGCAATTTTAGCTCATCATTTAAATTAGGGAAGGGGGAAAAAAAAGGCAGCTTCAGAGGGGATGGAAAACAAGAGGGAACATGAGCTCGTGGAGGCAGAGCCACTCCGTATGGTTAACTGATAACTCCAATTTGCCTCTTCCCTCTCATCTTTTCTGATTCTCCTGATTAAGCTCAACTTATTCTCATGCTAATCATTTCTTGACCTGTTTATTCTGCATTAAAAAATTAACAGAGAGCAGTTTACTGCATGACTTGCTCACACAGAACTGCTACAGATTAGCAGGCAGGCTTTAAGCCTCTGTGCAAGACTTCTGGGTCTAGCAGCCAGTCTGCACAGCTCGAGGATGAGCTTTTTTTCCTGTTTTTAAAGAACAGCTTTTTCTAAAGTCAATATAAATCCCCCTCCCTTCATGCCTTAAGTATATTTGCTCTGTGGCTATTTCCAAATGGGAAAGATAAAGCCAAGGGCTTGTGTTTTGTCAGACTTTTTGTAAACAGGGATATTTAGGCCACACTGTCAAACCCCTCTGCCTTCTGCCTTGGCGTGCCGTGACTCCGGAGCAGAGTTGTCAGGGCGTTAATAAGCAGCTCCAAGGAATTTGGCAGGGGCTGGGGGGCTGCAGGTCAGTGCAGCTGAAACAAGCCCCCGGTTCAAGCGGCGGATCTCTGC